TGGTGTCAAGCTTGTAACAACATAATAACCCTTTTTTCAGAAAGGTTCTATATAGAACCATATAACACATTCTCCATGAATTTCAAGGACCATTCCACCATGCAAAGAACCATTTAAGCATGCAGAAAGTTCTCTGAGTGTTCATGGTTCTATATAGAACCATTGTTCTTAATGGAGAACCACCTTTTTATAGTGTGATTTTATGATTATGCTCAGTTTGTAAAAGCATCCGAGGATCTGTTCCACCTAATGAGTGACATCTATTGCTGTCATATTTGGTTATTAGTTGTTAGTTAGTTAATTAAATAATCTACCAATAATTGTAACAATTATTTAGAGTTTTCAAAAATGGTCCTGTAATAAAAATGGACTTAAATAACAATATCAGATCATGCAAGGCTTTCGAGAGATCCCAGAATACTTTACAGGAAAAAGAGAAATAAAGCTTTATTGAAATAAAAGCTGTATTTTACAAAAGTACAAATATCAGATTTGGGCTGTTATCAGTCATATTCAAATCTTTTGACTATTTTAATGATGAAACGGGTAATCAGGGTTCTCAAAGAGGCAGAACAATAAAAAAGACTTAGTTGAACAGTAGCACACCATACAGAGCTTTGTATCCAATAAAAGATAAATAAGGACACGTTTAAAAAGGCAGTATTATCTACTGACATACACGTATTTGATTAGGGCTGTCATTATTGATTATATCAGTGATTTTCTGATTATTGTGATGATAAATTGAGTAATCAGAGTTTTTAAAAAGGCTAAACGACCTTTAATAATTGACTTCATTGAACATTAACAAACCATACAGAGCCTTTTAATGATTCCAGAACACTTTACTGAAAGGCCCGTCGTATGTCTTCCTGTATTAATGTCACTCGCAAAAAATAGAAGGTCTGGCTTGAAGTTTAGGTGCAAAATCAATTGCAAAGTCAACATTATGCTGATGAAGATATGATGACAGTAGCAGATAATTCATTCACTTCCTCAGAAGACGCATCCTTCACCAAGTTTTGACTGAGTTCTCTTTAAATTCTCTTTAAATTCTCTTTCAGCACTTGCAGTCGTCAGATTCATCCGCTTGGGAAAGGGGTCCAAGCACAGCCCATATTACAAAATGTTTATCCTCATGTTGCATGCAATTGCACATTTCCACCAGAGAGGTCTCCAAATCCCCAAATCTTACATAGTGCAGCATTGAGTCAAGTAATAATGACAGCCTTAATTACTTCACATGAAGTTAGTACTAGAACAATTTCATTAAGCGTAATAGATGTTGCAGTATTATGTAGGGATGTGCATTCAGACTAATTTTGCTATTCGAGTATCTGTAAGAGTTAATAAACTGATATCTGGTTAACCACAGGGAAGGAAAATCAACAACAAAAGTGTGAAAAAACAAAATAACTGAAAGTAGTGGAGGACTGTAGGCTTAATTTTAGATTATTGCTCTGGAGGTCATTTAAAAATATTAAAAGCTGTTTTATTTCTCAAAAATAGCCCAGAGAAATCAGTAGCTTTTTATGTCAGATGATTAATAAAGGCTGCCTCTTCAGATGAGCTAGTGAGCTAACACTAACTGGTACATCATTGGCTGCTGACAAGAACTCCTATTTTTTTTCTCCTCGATAGATGATGTTCCAACACGTCAATTTTTCAGATAAATATATTTTCACTGTTTCTGAATCGAGCTAACATCATCTCGAGGAGTTAGCCTAGTAGCTAGCCATGCCTGAGCCAGCCGCACTACCTGCCTTCTCAGTGACCCCCTTAACGCAGCCTTGGCAACAAGCTGACGTTCAGGCACTGAATAGTGATTTTGGGATACTGAACACTGTCAGCTAGAGCAGGTAACCGAGTATCTGTGTACATTCATAGCATTATGCTTGAAAAACGCAGTCCTTTTTGGTTAAAAGCTGGATTTTTCTGATTTGATGTGCATCACTGCATTAGATCATCTGAAAAAGCATTAGAACTATGTTGCTTTTTGTATTATTATTTTTTTAAAGCTGATTTTAAGATGGATTTGTCTGTGAGAGTGTGCGTATGCTTGTACACCGCTGATGTAGAAAAGCGAATGCGTTTGTATCAGCCTAAACATACAGAATCTAAATATGAAGTTTAGATTCTGCATGTTTAGGAAAATATTAGATACATAAAGGTTGTGAAATGGTGGGTGAAACACACAGAACACAAACTAGAGGCTCAACAGTTTTACAAAGTAATACAAGAAAAATACACGAGTAGGGCTGTATGATAAACCGTATTATTATCATTATTGCGATTTTAGTTTCTGCGATAAACACATCAGTTGAGCGGCGATGACAACAGATCAAATTACCTCGTACACACAGCATCAGAAAGACGTTATATTACACACTGTTAGAAGGCTAATGAGTGTTTCTCTGACTGAATCCTGCTGACCTGTGTGGGAGACAAGTAACTTAACCATTAGGCTAAACAGCCAATTACAAAACACACGCGTGCACAG